TTCCATGCATGCGCAGGACGCATACAGCGCCTGCGCGATCGTCCAGGAGCCAGCAGAAGCGTCGCGTAGACGCTAGGACGCATGCGTGCACCGCGCGCGTGCACGAGGACGACGCCGGCCTCGTTCCAACCGAACCGGTTGGAACGGGGCGAGAAACCCACCCCTGATGTATATATACATGTACACCATATTTTTTGGAGTATAAGACGCTTGGAAGTATAAAATGCAGCTAGCAAACAAGGGGAATGGAATCTGCCGCCCAGCAATTTGCCCCTTGCAGAAAACAGCCTGTTTCAGTATAGCCTGATTAGAAGAAGAAAAAAATCTGCCTTCCAGCAATTTCCCTCTTTACCCCAAATAGCAAGTTTCGCTTTCAATTTCAAGGATTGCCATAGCTTATTGTCGCCTCTGCAACTCCCATTTGCTGCAAGGAGGTAAATTCCTGGGAGGCAGAGGCCAGTGGGAGGTGGGGGCAGAGCTACATTCAGTGTATAAGATGCACCCAAATTTTCACCCTCTTCGGAGGGAAAAGTATACCCCGAAAAATACGGTGTATAGCAAGTAGTCCTTGAGTTAACAACTGTAATGGCCAAGACAGGTAAAGGTGGGCTGGTTGCCAAGTATCCAAAATATGGTCATGTGATGGGGTTGCCATCAAAATTTCGGAACCAGGGTATAAATACCTTTTTGGGGGGAGGGGGGAAGTCTTGCAACTTCCTATTGGTATCTAGTTTTAAGTCAAGTATTACCTGTAATTGATTTGAAGAAAACTCCAAAAAGGTTTCAAATTTTATAATAATTTGTGCGTGTTATCTTTTATTCAACTAAGCCACGGCCAACAAAATCTTCCAAAAATCGCAACGATTTTAGGTTATATATCAGGAACTTCTGACATTCAGGTGGCCACATCGGCTCTGTATGGGTGATCCACCCACGGAGGAAGGGTTGAGTAAAAAGCTATGCTCAAAGAGAGCTAAATGTTAAGAATTCTTCAATTAACCCAAAAGATCATTTATAATTTCATATTAAGGCCCCACCTCTAGTTACCTGGAACCCACACTGTATATCAGACATTAATACAATGGAGTGGGTCCAGGGGTATTTCACGAGAAGAGTCCTCCACTCCTCTGCTCACAATAGAATCCCTTATGCCACCAGCCTTGAAATTCTGGGCTTGGACAATCTGGAATTGTGCTGCCTGAGATCTAAGCATAGTACACAAAATTGTCTGCTACAACCTCCTACCTGTCAACAACAACTTCAGCTTCAACCTCAATAATACATAGGCAAACAACTGATACAAATTCAAGGTAAACTGCTCCAAACTCGATTGCAGAAAATATAACTTCAGCCACAGTAGTCAACACCTGGAATTCTCTACCTGACTCCATTAAAGCCTCAAACCCTCACAGTTTCAGTCTCAAACTGTCTACTGTGGACCTCACCCCATTCCTAAGAGGTCCATAAAGGGGGCCTGCATAAGCGTACCAGCGTCCCTGTCTTACTATCCCCATTTAATCTTCCTTTGTCCATGTTTCTGTTCATACCTATACTTGTTAGCTTCTACATATTTGACAAAGAAACAAATACCTGATCGGCTTGCTTTGGGGGAACAACGAACACAACGAAAGGAGAAAAGTCGGCAGTGTGGATGATTTTCAGCGTCTGTCAAAAGGAAGAGAGTAAATTTCTGCCTTAAATAAAAAAAGATAGCTATTTCCCTAACTTATTACAGGACTGCCTATTACACTTCAATGTTTGGGTCACTGCAAAGCAAATGGACATGGATAGGATTAATTTCCATTCTCAAACAAAGTGACGGTTGCACAGTTCTTGATTCTGACCTCTTAAAAAGAAACGTCTACCTGAATAGAAAGCACAAAGTTGGGGATAATACGAAGGAAAGTGGGGGTCTTCCATTGAGCGATGCATGCTCAATTTGCTTCCCACTACCAATTGCTCTACTGCACATCAATTTCCCAAGGTGCTTTGGATCACTTTCCTTGTCATTTCCCAATTGAGGAGGAATAAATGGAAAGATCTATTATCGTACGTCAAAGAAGACTCAACCATCCAGGCCAAAGGTGTCTAAAGGTTGAATTATGGCAACTGGACCAAACTTTGATCATCTGTGATGCTTCGTTGCTTGGTGAAGCTGCTTGGATGAGCAACGGAATGTCCCAGATTAATAAAAATTTGTCCCCACTTCCATCTCTTTTTCTTAGTTATGATGTTTCTTAATATAGTCCACTTGTTTCTGCTCCCTCAATATTTATGATATTTCCTTTTTTGCCCTCTTTCCTTCCTCTTAGCACAGTGAGTAGAAGGATGCTAACAAATTTAACCTGCTGATTAAACGAATGACTAGCTCCATCCTACCTGAGGCTCAATGTCCAAGATGGCAATTTTGCCCTGCTGATGGATCTTGTGCAAAGTTTCAAATTTGGTGCCAAACATAAAGCCCTGGTAACTTCCAAATTCCAAGAACTCGTTAGCAGAGATGTCTTTTGTCATGTCTTCTGTAGAGACAAAGTGATAGTTCTTCCCATCCTCTTCATTCTTCTTTTGGGGTCGAGTTGTATCTGTGAAAATCAATACAGTGTAACAATATTGCACGAGGTGACTCACTATAAAAGGTAAAGATTCCCTCACACATATGTGCTAGCCGTTCCTGACTCGAGGGGGCAGTGCTCATCTCTGTTTCAAAGCCAAAGAGCCAATGCTGTCCGAAGACGTTTCCGTGATCATGTGGCCAGCATGACTCAACGCCGAAGGTGCACAGAATGCTAGTTCCTATTTTTCTACTTGCATTTTTACGTGCTTTCGAACTGCTAGGCTGGCAGAAGCTGGACAATAAACGGGATCACTCCGTTACAGAGCGCTAGGGATTCATACCGCCAAACTGCCAGCCTTATTGGTGAATCTGGGGGACAGGGTGGAAATATCAGTGCAAATAATCTTGACAACTAATTGCTAGACACATGTGGAACTTGGATAGGTTGTATGTGGCCAATCCAAAATCCTCTAGGGGTAGCTACCAAACTCCGCCATCCCAACTAAGCTTTTTATTCTTTTTTTTTAATAGGGGGAAAAAAATACAGAATTCCAGACTTTGAATTGGTTTAGAAATGGAGAAGCAATTGTATAGTCCAGAAATAGAAGGAAGAGAAAAATTCAAAATAACCCCATCTTGATTAAGTTCAGTATCAGGTTGCACAAAAATACACCTGGGCAGAATAGTAGTACCACAGCGTTGGAAGGGACTTTGTGGTCCAATCATCTGCTGAAGCATGAGACCCTATACCATTCCAGACAATGGAATAGAAGGCTCCTATACCATTTCAGACCTTCAAGATTCTGGCAATGTACCTTATAATAAAACAGTAATATTCTTGGAAACACTGGGGAGTTTGTTTCTTGGTCAGGACTACCTCAAAAGGTTGCGGTCCATCTTGAAAACCTTTCAAGTTTCCTCTGTCCTAATTTATACTAGAAGAAAATCAAGCGGGAACTATTTTGAGTTTCTTACACTTCCTTCTGTCACTGGAATATATCATCTCTTCTCCAAGTCCAACGTGTTCGGATTTGGTGAATAAATAAATAAAGCCCCTCCTTCATGCTTCTCCCACATAGCTTCCCCAAGGAAGCCTCTAAATTACTTTACACTATGGCCAATTTAATTTGCGGTGCAAATCAAGAGTTGTATAGGTGTAATGACTTGAAGGGCTCAGCGAGCAGAACTGTTTGGTTTTAACTTATGCATCTTCCTCACCCTGCTTCCCCGGAAATAAGTCCTCCCCGGATAATAAGCCCAATCGGGCTTTTGAGCGCATGCGCTAAAATAAGCCCTCCCCAAAAAATAAGCCCTCCCCAAAAATATTGCAACACAGCAGCAGCCATGAGGTCACCACGCTCGCCGCTTCCTGCACCTCAAAAATAATAAGACCTCCCCGAAAATAAGATCAAGTGCTTATTTTGGGGGGGTCAAAAGAAAATAAGACCTTGTCTTATTTTCGGGAAAACTCAGACAGATGGAAAGAGTCAAGAGGCATGTTCTGAGCCAGGCTAATTCCCAAAGGAGGATGGAGAATTTAGAATAGGATATTTCAAACATGGCAACTTTAAGACTTCAACTCCCAGAATTCAACTCCCAGTTGGGGAATTCTAAGAGTTGAAGTCCACACACCTTAAAGTTGCTAAGCTTGTTACGTGACCTAGTATCTTCTCCCAAAGAGACACATTGAGTAAGTTACATGTGGGCAGACATACATGGAACAGGATATCCGAACTTGTCTGGGTATTTGTTGAGCAGTGTGTTCTTAATGTGGCTTCGTCCGACACCACTTGCTCCTGATTCAAAAGAGAAAAAAAATAAGTCAGGCGTTACAAAGAGAGTTATCTGTTTTCCCCATCTCATATTGGCAGGAAGCTGATGTTAGTTTCAAGCAACTATACTCTCAAGTGAAAGCTCTTAAGGGCTGAAATATCATCCACCTGGAGTTTAACTGTAATTCCTATATTTTAATATACCAATTGCTAGCATGGGAGTGAATAAAAAAAGCAGATTTTTTTTCTGACAACTTGGTTATTTAAAACATTAGAACTGTAGGAATGCATTGATCTAACATTTGAAGAAGCAGAGTGAGGTGTGATTTCATTACCTATAAGCACCAAAGTTTTTCGCTTAAAAGCTGGCAGTTGGACCACCTCCTCGTAAGATACTACATCAAGCTGGTCAAAAACTAGAAGAAAAAACGAGAAAGAATTTAGACAAACTCCAGGAGACCCTGAGTCCCACAAATATCCTACAGTTGTGTTATGGTGTGATCTCTTTCAATGTTCTGGCGAACTTCGGTGATTGGAAATTTCAATCTGTGTGCAAATTTGCAAGCTTTAATCAAACCATAATGTCTGTTGTTGTTGTTTTTCTGCTGGAGAAATTGTGGCTGTGTGGATCGTCAACTTCTTTCCCGACTTGGATTAGCAAAGAAGGACTTTGCAACACAATGGAATTTTTTGACACAGCTAGCCCACTAACCTAAGAATGAATAGATTTGCTGCTTTAGGAATGGCCAACAGATTTTGAATATATACAGTTAAGGGCAGTTTCTGGCACCGACCGTTTCAAAAGCAACAGAAAACAGGATGCTGGAGGCAAGACCAGGATGAACTAATTGGAAAAACAGTCTGACCAGAAGAAATGGTGATGTTCAGGAACATGCTGCGTTGTTTCCTTTCAACTGTTTGTTTGCTCCAACTATAGAACTAGATTTGAAAATTGTCTTTCAAGGAATAATAGAGTTTTTGATGATGGGGCTGACGAATGGAAAATAGATTGGACCACTACAACAACCCTAGGAACATGGAAGGCCAAAAGAAGGATTAATTATTATTTTTGGTGGCAGGGGAATTCTGCAAATTGAAGTCCACCTTTCTTAAAAGTTTCAAGGTCGAGGAACAATGGCATAGAAGTCTAATCTACTCTGGAAGAACTCCAGTACAAGTTCTTCACACCATCTCAAGAGAAGTCCTTCACACAACCAATATGCAATCCTGGTGGAGCATATGGGGGTTCTTGACGTTACTCAGTTCCATAGTTGGCCAAGGGCCACATGTGAATGCCCCATTCTTCACTGTATGGTCTTCCAATCTGCTGCCCCAGAGTTTTCTATGCGTCTACTTATTCCAACAGAAAGCATGTGAACAGAATTCCACTAATAGAGGCTCTTTGGAGCAGGCTGCCAGAGAGTGACAACATGTATACCTGTACACAAACCAATGCTCCCCAAAAATGCTTCTGATGCTTTCCAAGTGTATAATCTTTTCCCCCCATTCCAATCTCACAATGGCTTCTCAGTAAAACCAGTATATCACAGCTGCTCTACCTCGTCATCCAGCACAAAGGCTGGCTTCATACAAAGAGATTAAGTCGTTTGTGGTTAGCTTTGTTGTACGAATCCCTTTCTTAACAACTGGAACTAGACTAACAGGTTAAACTAGCACAAGTATATTGGCTGGGCCTCAAAATATTGTGCAAACAGAGCCACAAAGTACTTCACGAGAAGAGTGATCCACTCCTCTGCTCACAATAGAATTCCCTATGCCACCAGACTTGAAATGTTGGGTATGGACAATCTGGAACTACTAAGCAAAATTGTCTGCTACAGTGTCTTACCTGTCAATAGCAATAGCAATAGCAGTTAGACTTATATACCGCTTCATAGGGCTTTCAACCCTCTCTAAGGGTTTACAGAGTCAGCATATTGCCCCCAACAACAATCCGGGTCCTCATTTTATCCACCTCG